TGACCCCGGCCAAACTACAACAAAAAATAGCCGGGCATTGTGGCAGGTGCCTGTAGTCCCAGCTACACTGGAGGCTGAGGCAAGAGAATCACCTAAGTCCAGAAGTTGGGAGGTTGCTGTGAGCTATGATCTGTAATGCTACGGCACTCTACCAAGAGCAATAAAGTGAGACGGTCTCTAAAAACAAAACTATTTGGCGTAGGTTTTAGTTTTACTTGGGGAACTTGATTACATCTATACATCTTTTAGAGCTTAATTTTTGTTAAAGGATCTCCAAAAGAAGAAAATGAGCTCTAACATTTGGTTTTCTTTCTATTAACAAGACGTCAAAGGGCCAAACAGATGAATGGTTCAATTAGTAAAAAGCCTGGTAAATTCTGTTAGTAGATGGATGATGGGTGAAGAAATTTAAAACTCCTTAGGGGCAATGCCAGACCCATATACTGAAGGTGGCGGGTTCAAATTGGCCTGGCCAAAAACTACAAAGAAAAACTTAAAGATTCCTTAGGAAATTCCTTTAGTTCCTAAAGCCACTCCCTCATCTTTTTTTTGTATTTTTTTTTAAGAGACAGAGTCTCACCTCATTGCCCTTGGTAGAGTGCTGTAACATCACAGCTTACAGCAACCTCAAACTCTGGGGCTTAGGTGATTCTTTTGCCTCAGTCTCCCCAGTAGCTGGGACTATAGGCGCCCGCCACAAAGGCCAGCTATTGTTTTGTTGCAGTTTGGCCAGGGCCAGCACCCTACTCACTGAGCCATAGGTGCCACCCCATTCCCTCATCTTTTAATTCTAAAGGCCCTTATTCCATTTTGCAGATAAACTACTCGCATCCCTCTCTCTCCATCTCAGTCCCCACCCCCATCACATACTAGCTTTTGGCATTACAGCGGACCCAGTTCCCCTCTGGTGAACATGGTTAATATTCATAACTAGACTGGAAAATTTCTATTAAAATTCTCAAGATTTTTGTCTGGGGCAGTGGCTCATGCCTGTGATCCTAACACTCTGGGAGGCCAATGCAAGAGGATGCCTTGAATGCAGGTGTTTGAGAACAGCCTGAGCAAAAGTGAGGCCCTGTATCTACTAAACAGAAAAATTAGCAAGGCGTTGTGGTGGGTGCCTGTAGTCTCAGCTACTCAGGAGGCTGAGGCAGTAAGGAAGATTGCTTGACCCCAGGAGATTAAAGTGGCTGTGAGCTAGAGTGATGCCATGGCACTCTAAGGGTGAGACTGTCTCAAAAATGAAATAAGCAAAATAAAATAATAAATTCTATCAACCACAGTTTGCAAATAGCAGTTTTTCTATCTCATCATTCCTTTGTTTTTTTTTCTTTGCGATTTTTTTTTTTTTGGCCAGGGCTGGGTTTGAAC